TTGAATGTAGAGGATACTCATTGAATGTAGAGGATACTCATTGAATGTAGAGGATATTCGTTGAATGTAGCTTAAAGTCTTTATAGAGCTAGGGAATTAGATGTGAATGTGTATCAAGCTACTAAATGCTGCACACTATCTCGCTCTGGTCGATAGTATTTATGTATATGTGTATCAAGCTACAAAGTGCTCGATAGTGTTTATAATGCAGTAATGTTGGTGGAAATATATATGTATATGTATAGGTGTATGTGTATATGTGTAGCAAGCTACCGAGGGTTGCTGCTCAATAGTGTTGTGCCAAGCTACAGAGTGTTGCTGCTCAATAGTGTTGTGACAAGCTACAGAGTGTTGCTGCTCAATAGTGTTGTGCCAAGCTACAGAGTGTTGCTGCTCAATAGTGTTGTGCCAAGCTACTGAGTGTTGCTGCTCAATAGTGTTGTGCCAAGCTACTGAGTGTTGCTCCACTATCTCGCGCTGCTCGATAGTGTCGCTCGATAGTGTCGCTCGATAATCATGGTTTTATCATCAGTTGAACTTTCTTCTTTAACCGCATTTCCATGCTCATTTTTTCAAATCTCATCTTTTCAGCGCGGTCCTGAGTTGCATCCATTAGGGGAGTTTTTTGCTTTTGCTTTTGTTGTTGTTGTTGTTGTTGTTGGTTAATTGACTCGATACTGGACCTGGCACTATTTGGATCACCCAACTCTTCGCTATTTCGATAACTCATTAAAATCTTTAGATTTCCGTTATATTTCTTATTGAGCTTATTTCCATACTCGTAAAGTTTCAAATCGTCATTTCTCTTTTGATATAGCTTTAATGCGTCATGATAAAGTTGTTTAACAAAGGTATCTCGAAACGCTGCAGTTGTGAATTTAGGCATGGGGTAGTGTAATAGCAAAGAAAGGCAATCACTAAAATCTGCCGATATGATGTCTGTTTTCCGCTGGATAAGAAGCACGATTACTATAAAGTAGATTAGATCCACAATACATGAGAATTTTTCAGAACCAGAAGAGGTATTCCCTTTTGAATCAGGTTGTGATGCAATTAGTTTATCCCATACTAGATTTGTAACTTCTAAATCGTTACCCAATTCTCGTATGAGTACAAGTCTAAGGTAACGTATTATCCACAATTGCGATTCTAAATGGAGCCTAGTATTCATTGTGTAATGAATAAATTGATCGATTTTCATCAAATACATATCAAACTGATTGATCAGATTAGTCAAACATGTTTCTGACTCGTAGAATCGGGTGATTATTCCGCTAGACAAGACAAATTTGTTGAATATTGTGAAAATGTCATGACACAAATAGTTCTTGTTAAACAAGTTCAAAATTGAAGCTTCTTCATTAGTAAATGTACTTGCTTTAGGGTCATAGTTTACAGATTCCTTATATAGGTTCCAATATATCAATCCCAAAATTTCGTGAAGTCCTTGTTTGTAACCTACTGTCTGGTTGCATTTAGACCAAACAAAGAGTATTTCAATAAGCTGTCGCTTGATAAGTATAGTATTTGGATCATTTGTATTGTGGAAAAACTCTTCTCCTGGGAATAGTCTCTCTATATCTAGTATAATGCTCTCCAAGAGTTCCAAGTCGTCAGCCGTGTCTGATGACGACTTGGAAAGGCAAGACGAGTGAGACCCACTTGACCTTGTTCTCAATGGATCCTCTTTTGTTTCAACACGCTCAGTTTTCATCTTCAAAGAAGGTCTCATTCCACGTATGGTTTGTCTCCTATTCAAGCTTGACTTTCTAGTAATAGCCAAAGACTGATGATAGAAACAATCAGCATCCAATTTATACCAAGGAATCCTCATATCATCACGTTTAATCAACTGATGAAACACAATTCGCGAGTCATTAAGCTTTGACGACCAAGAGGAAATCTGAAAAGAGTCTGTGATCAAACAAGTCTTCCATAGTAGCAAGCGCAGAAATAGTCGAGGTTGCTGAGTCGAGGTATACTGTCCTTCCATAACGGCCTTCTTGAAGTTGGTTACATTTCCCCTATACTTGTCTATCGTGAGCAAAACTTTTGAAATCGTTTCATCATTTACCCTAGACATAAAAGAAGCAAAGGAAAAGGAAAAGTAAATATGTTTTCTTAGAAGATGTTCCCCCTGGTGTTGGTTTTGGGTGGAACTATGTCGGCTTTTTATCCTTTCACCACCTGTCAAGGTAAACAAATTCCATCGTCAATTTTGCATTTGTTTTGGTAGCAAGAAAAGAAAATACCGCGCTAGTACCGCGCTAGTACCGCACTTGTACCACGACGGTTCGCAGGAACGGGGCGAAACTATCGACACTATCGAGGAGAGCGAGATAGTGGTGCAACACTCAGTAGCTTATTATGAGGCACTCTATCATTTGTCTCTCACCATCTCATCTGTCTCTCACCATCTCATCTGTCTCTCACCATCTCATCTGTCTCTCACCATCTCATCTGTCTCTCACGGTAGACGCCTGCCAAATATAGAGATAAAAGATCTTTTACGAGGCACTCTATCTCATCTGTCTCTCATTCTTTATCTTCCATCTCTGCTACTTTTTCATCTCATCTGTCTCTCCCTCTCATCTGTCTCTCCCTCTCATCTGTCTTCTCTATTTCTTCCGTTACTAGTATCGCTACAAAGTGTTCCTCCCCTATCGAGCAAAGCGAGATGATGTACTAGTATCGCTACTAGTATCGCTACAAAGTGTTGCTCTTAAGTGCTTCTCCACTATCGAGCAGAGCAAGATGATGTACTAGTATCGCTACTAGTATAGCTACTAGTATCGCTACAAAGTGTTGCTCCACTATCGAGCAAAGCGAGATGATGTACTAGTATCGCTACAAAGTGTTGCTCCACTATCTCGCTCTGCTCGATAGTGTCGTATCGCTACAATGTGCTCCTCTTGAGTGCTGCTCTTGAGTGCTGCTCTTACGTGCTGCTCCACTATCTCGCTCCGCTCGATAGTGGCTCGATAGTGGCTCGATAGTGGCTCGATAGTGTCGATAGTGTCGATTAACTTCGGCTCGGCTCGTACAAAATTTTGCAATTGAAAATATTTTTCACTTTTATATAGTAACAAGTATAGGATTCTTATAGACAAGACTTGTGATGACGCTAAAGAAAGGTGAAAAGGAAGGTGAAAAAGTCGAGGAAATGTCACATGAGTTATCAGCAGAGCAAGAAGATGAATCGATAAAGCTACGATCGAGTTTAGACAAACTCTCTTCTTGGGAGAATGAAATGAGTCAAGTCGATAGAGATGTTGAAATATACAGAATAAAATCGAGTCAACCAATGTATACCAAGAGAAGAGAAATTTTACAGCAAGTTCCCAAGTTCTGGTATATAATTCTTGCCGAGAATGACGAATTTGCTGACTACATTAGTCCTGAGGACTTGAAGTACCTTGAATATATCAATGACATATATGTGCACTACCCCATTGCTGAAGCAAAAAGAGAACAAGGTGATGCCGCCATTGCTGAAGCAAAAAGGGAACAAGGTGATGCCGCCATTGCTGAGGCAAAAAGGGAACAAGCTAATGCCCTCGCCAATTACAAAGATTTTGAAGTAACGATAAGTTTCGCTGATTGCTCGTTTATGCAGAAACAGAGTATAACCAAAAAATTTAGAACAATAGTTGGAGAAGATGGGGAAGAGCATTTGAAATCTGAATACGTTTCAGTTCAATGGCCAAAGGAATTAGCTAAATTTAATCCTCAGCTTATAAAGGAGAAAACAAAGAGTAGTGGCAGCAATATGAGTGCAAAGGAAAAGAAGAATTATCGAATTGGTATGAAGTCATTTTTCGCTTGGTTTGCATGGACTGGCGAGAAACCTGGAAAGGAATTTAGGCATGGAGAGGACTTGACACAATTGATAGTAGAGGACATTTTTATTAACGCGTTGAAATATTATATTGTTGCATTGTCTAACGAGTCTGGCGAAGAAGAAGATGAGGAAGAAGAAGAAGATAGCTCCGAAGGGGAGGAATTGGATTTGAGTGACATTGAAGAGGAGGAAAGGAAAAGGCCACTTGAGGATCAAAATAACGAAAACAACAAGAAAAAGAAGGTTGACCCACTATAAAGCGGAGCGAGATGATGGGACAACATTCAGTAGCAAGTTGCACATATACATATGTATTAAAGTTGACGCTTGGAAATATAGGTGCATTAAGGTTGACGCTTAGAAAATAGTAAAAAAACTATATACATCTTTCTTGTCGTGGAAGCTAGTCACTCTTGCTCCACTAGCTCTTCGAGCCAGTGTCGCTATATCTTGGAAGCCAGTCACTCTTTCTCCACTAGCTCTTCGAACTAGTGTCGTTCCTTTATGTCAATTTTTTCAATCTAAGAATGACAAAGAACCCTTCAATAATATGCATGAGATACCAATAAACTCTAACATTCTCTGGAGTTCTATGCTTCTTCAACAAAGGTCTTGACACAAACAAAATCTCACCGAAATGAACAATGAATAATCCAATTGCAATCTTTAACGCATTTATTTCAGTAAATTGATAAGCGGAAATGACAGCAGATGGAAGAAACTTGACTATTCTGTTGAATAAAGCATCATTAGCAAACAATCTTTTCAAAATATTTGGATTGTAAGCATTGAGTAGTAAAACAAGCCAGCTAGGATAGATTGAGAGTGCAAGAGGACTAGGGCCAACTATTTTGGTGATTTTGGTCATAGCGTAGCCTTGTTTCTCAGCACAATATTTTGCCATGGCGATCAATTTACCTTTGATATCAGATAAAGATTTGACTTGTATATTTTCTGCTTCTTCTGCATCGGTCCAATAAAGTGCCAATGTTTTTGTAATTGACGTAGCGCTATTTGGTTTGATCAAATCGTACTCAATAACAAGATGGTTAGTGTCCACGTCAGTTATATGAACAGAATCTTCAACCAAATACTTGGGATCAACCGAATCGTACACTATGACATAATCATTCAATGACAATTGATGATCTTTGTTCATGTGAGACTTGATTCTTGTACTCGGATCAGACATGTTTATATGAAGAAAGAAGAAGAAGGAGGAGAAGGAGACAAAAGAGGAAAAACTCTGGTTCAAGTCTAGTACAAGTGCCGACAAAGGGTTTTGAAGATAAAGAGAAATGTGGGGGAAGACATCAATAATTCTTTCTATTGTAATTATCCTCTGATTGTTGAAAAATATGTCCGTTTCATCACGTGAGTCTACGAGTTGAGTCAATATGGCCAAGTTTATTTTTTGCATATATTTCCTGATAAGTTAAGTTAGACGATGGTGGGACGAGAGAGAGGTAGAGGCCCCGCCAGCAACTGAAAAGGAGGCATCATAAAGCTTCTCCTAGTAAGGAGTTAAAGACACCAAATCTGCTACATATCAGTGCTGTTTTTGGCTCCTTTGATTATACATATATTGATGTACATATTATGCGAGGGGGGGGGGGGGAGGGGGGGGGCCC